TCTCATGTGGCGAACAAGGGCACATTTTTGGGTGAAGCGCTTCCTACATGTATTACATGCGTATGGTCGCTCACCTGTGTGGAGTCTCATGTGGCTAACAAGGGTCATTTTACGGGCAAAACGCCTTTTACATGTTTTACATTCATAAGGTCGCTCACCTGTGTGGACTCTCCGGTGACGATTGAGTTGAATATTTAGAGAAAAACGCCTTTTACATATCTTACATTCAAATGGTCGCTCACCTGTGTGGACTCCCTGGTGACGAGCAAAGTTACTAATTCTGACAGAACGCCGAGACTTATCACACTGGTATGTCTTTTTTCCTGAATGCAATGACACAACATGGGCATCGAGATGGTGCTTTCGTCTGAACGTCTTCGGGCAGACATTACAAGGATAAGGTCGTTCGCCAGAGTGCACCATCAGGTGCCTCTTCAATGAGTTCGAGCCACTCAATGTTTTGCCACAGACATCGCACTTGCAGTTCGCATGACGCTTCTTGACTTTACTGTTTTCAAACCCGGGATCCGATTCGTGATGGTCCCCATGCCCGTCCTCTTCGTGCGCTGGATGGGCGTCCTCGTCCTCATCCCGTTCCTCCTCGGAGCCAGCAGCTTCTTCTCGAGCTGCGCCGCCACTGACCTGGAGCTTGTCGTGCTTCCCGGCCTCCTCGGAGGGCGGCACGTCACGGAGGGAGTAGGTGTCCACCACCAGCAGCTGCAGCTCATCCGAGCACGGCTCGGCAGCCTCACCTGTTAAGCAGAGAAGAGTTAGACCAGCTGGCTGCCAGGTGGCTTGGCCACGCCCACGACCCACCGCCACCCTCATGCACATGCATCGCAACGCGTTTGACTCGGAAGAGAGGCCACACTGGCCGTCAGAAGGTTTCGCGAGACCACCGTTCCGCTACCATCAGCCACTCGGTCCACAGCCGCATGGCGAGCACACTTATACACAGTCGCAAAATTGAAATCAAGACACCACTATAATAAATAAGAGAGTACAAGTTAAAGCGTAAATGCACCATTCTTAAAAAATGTGTAGTTTGTGTTTCTCGTGAAAGCAGCCCACTGATTGCTACGGAGATGCTAGCGTCTAGTATAAGCTTACACTTGTTTCACATTTCACTCAGTAGCAACAATGCAGTGTATAGTGTAGGAAGAAAACGTAAAAAAAAAAACTAAAAAAAAAAAACAGCTGAATAAAAATTTAATGGAAAATAACACATATTATATTGCAGTCAGGTAAACGTTGGCCGCCAGAAATGAAGCGCGTACTGACGGTGGTCTGACTAGCCGTGGTCCTCCTAGGACAGCGACTCTACTGGAGCGTCGCTGCAGCAAGGTTGCTCCAGCCCTCCGCCCGAGCCTCCGCCCCTCTCCATCCACTCCGGCGAGGTGCTTCTGGGAGGGGAAGAGGAGGGGAGCCACGCCACCTGAACACTCGGTCGAGCAGCACCATCTGTGCGCCACCGGAACCTCTCTCGAATCCCAAACTAGACGTCCACGACAGCAAACCAGTTACAGCAATGGCGGTTGTGGAGGGGGGGGGGGGCACCAAAGAGGACAGGAGG